TGTTGTAAGTAGAGGATTACCTGTATATGAGTCTGAGCAAAAGAAAATTCTGATAATTTTCAACCTCCCAAATAAGCAAATATAAGATTAGAGCTTTGGTTCTTTCCAGCCATGCTCTAAATGACTTCCTAAAGCTGTACAATAGTGATGTGTCATCTGGTACACAACCCAGGATATCTTTATGCATTTTCTATATAATGCATGTAATGTATCTTATACAGTATATGTGCTTCTATGGCCATGATGGTGAACCTATGGCACGCGTGCCAGAGGTGGCACACAGCGCCCTCTCTGATGGCACGTGAGCTGTCACCCCAGTTCAGCTCTGCTGTGCATGCATGCGTTCCTCCCTCTGGCCAGCTGGTCTTCGGGACTCTGTCGCGCATGTGCGGGGTGTGGGCCACATGCGGGAGGTGTGCATACATGCGCAGGGGCGGGGCATATGCGGGGGGCGTGTGCACATGTGGGGGGGCATGCCGGGGGCATACACATGCATGGGGCAGAGTGCATGTGTGCGGGCCATGCACACATTGAATTTTGGGGGTTTGGCCGCGTGCACATGTGCTTTGTGCACTCAGCCCAGAAAAGATTAGCCATCACTGTTCTATGGTATCCAAAAGTCATAGCAGCCAATGAGATACAATATATTCAATATGCAGTTGTTACCAGTTGGATATCTCTATCCTGAGCCAAGCAGGATAGACTTGAAGTTTTTAGAGTGGCTTGTAAAACAGGTCTAAATTGAATCCCATCAAGTCAATGTTAGAAAGTCAACTAATCCTGGAAAGTAATCCATTTGTTGTTCCCCAAAAAATGTGCTGTTATGGAGAGAGCTGATTATAGACTGACAAATTATGGACTCATAATTCCTTTTTCACTAGTAAATAGTGATCATAACCAGGAAAAGCTTTGCAAAATTACATTTTGTGCACTAGTTGAGAAATTTCTGGAATAAGAGTCTCTCTCCATAGGCACCCATTCCTTTTTCACTCTATAATCACTCACTATATGTCAGGGTCCCTTTGAAGATCACTCAGAACCTTCATCTGATTCAGCAGATAATTATGAGCTTATTGACTGCTGCTATGCAACACTTCTACCATGAGAGATGTGTTGGCCACCAGTCAATTTACAGGTGCAGTTCAAGTACGTTCTTGCTGTTATTACCCTACTTGGCTCAAGGCCTGGATATCTCTGAGTTGCAACTGTCTGCTTGGTGAGATCAATAAGAGGAAGCTTACTGATGGTCCTGCCACCAATCACAGGGACCCTGCCACCCTACAGTCCCTGTGATTGGACCTGCTTCATGATGATTCCCTCCTTTGAAATAGCCTTCCCTATTAAAGCTGTGAACAGAGAGGAACAAAAATTCTAGTACCTCTGAATGGTGGTACATATGCTTGGCTATAACTTTTTTTGATGAATGGAATTTGCCACTAATACTTAATCCTACTTTTGCCAGTATATCAAAGCTACTCAGTCTTTGGAAATGGAACTGTGTATAAATGAAAGTCAATAAATAGAGCAACGTATAAACAGAAATAAATAAATCTTGATGAAATAAAATGGGGAAATCGGGAATTAAATATTGACCAATACTATTTTTAGGAATTTTTTTTTTACATTTATAAATAATATTTTGTTTAGCTAATTATTAAATTTGTATACCGCCCATCTCTCTACCAAGTGACTCTAGGCAGCTTACAATACCATAAATAATAGGATAAAACAATTACAGAATTAAAACATCGAATATTGAAAGTTAAAACAGTAAAATTAATATTAAAATGGATAAAAAGAATGAATGAGTAGACAGGGTGGAGGTGGACTCTTCTAATACAGGGAAGACATTAAGCCCAAACAATTATACTTCTTTTTAATTTCCTAAAAACAACTAAATGCACTTTGCTTGGTATGGTTTAGCTTTTATACATGTTATATTGCGCATTAATTGTGTAACTTCAGTCATTGTCTTTCTGTTTAAAGATATTATTTCTTAGAATATTCCTTTATTTAAAAAAAATATTTAAAAATGTTATTTATTTTTTCTGATATTTGAATGAATTCTTAAATAGTATATTGAAAGCTTGTTTTATGTGCCTGTGTATCCTCAAGACAAATGTTTCATGTAGCACTACCTATAAATGTAATATTAGATGTTTTTTTATAGTATTGACAGTTTACATAACTTGCTAAGAAAAGGATCCATATGTTCCATAATTTATTATTTTCTTTTAAATCATTATTGAACATTTTATGCAATGTTGCGCGCTTGGTGTGTAAAAGAAAAGTGAGATTGCTTGGAAAGTTTAGTTTTTTCAGAGGAATTGAAATTAATTGCTTTTCATGTTGTTACGAGGCATGGTTTCCATCAGCTAATTTAGCACAACTTCAGATCTGAATTTTTCTAAATTGTAAAATGATTCTTGTTAAACTGCTCTGTAGAAAAACAAACGATACATTTAATGTCTTTTGTACATTAAAGGAAAGGCTGGTTTATTCATCCCACCCAATTCCCACTTCTCTTTTTAGATTATTTTTGTTCAAGGGGAGGTTAGATTTCAGAACAGCAAGTGGTCAACTAATAAGGATTAGTAGCAGGGAGGTTTTGTTTAATTCAGTTTGTAAGCTGCTTTAGTCAATGAAATCCCTTAAAACACTGAGATTATATTTTTAATGCTACCGACACACTATCTTGATGTCTCCAGCAGTAGATGGATTTTTAAAGCTTATTTTGAAAGAAGATTATGTATCCTCCTATAGTGTATGCAAAACTATGGAATATTATATTTTATGTACTGTGTATCAATCACATGCAGCCTAATACTCTAAGATTAGATAGAAGATTTTAACAGATTTGCAAAGAGTTAAATGGTAGTCTTAGAATATCTAAGAAATTGTAGACATTAATAGAGGCGGAAAGGGGAAGCAGGAATTGTGTATCCAATTTGAAGCTTTTGAAGCAATCTTAAATGAGACATCTTGTTATTTCAGGATTTACAGGGGGTTCTTTCATTAATCTATCTCCCTGCCCCTTTCCCCCTTTTTATTTCTTTAAGAATGTAACATTTAATTTATGTTATCTTACACCGCCACACAGCAAGGAAGAATGTATTGAATTCTGGATGCAATGGAGTTGCCAAAGTTAACTTTTCAGCATGGAAAATTGTTGTGAACACAGTGTGGGCACAGAGGAAATATTTCCTTTTCCAAAAGAAACAAAAACCTCCTTACAAATCAATCTTGCCAATGCCCTACCTTCAAGTTTCTTATCACTATATGTTTAATATTCTTGAGTGAATGGCAAATCTCATATCAAGAAGGAACCATAGCTTAATTGATGACAATCAAACACGCTATATCTCTGAAACTCAGAAAGACAGGCATAGAGGAACCATAACAGTTTTCCTACTCATTGAACCACTCTGATCTGTATGAACATACCTGTTTAAAAGTAGGTTTTCCAATTACCTGAGCCTTGGAAAGAAGATTGTGCTAACATACCTCTGAACAGTTGATTTCCTCCTTGATGTCCTGCTGATATGGTCTTCTCCTGGTTTGCACAGCATAACAAGATACTGTTGTCCTCAAATATAGTTTGAAATTACCTTAGGCTAGGGCTTTTCAAATTGGGCACCAAAAGAAACTGCAGGAGGGCACAACATTTTTTAAAGCTGATTAGGATATGTGAACTGGGTAGTTTTATAAGAAGGAAATATTTAGAGCAGGGGTATCAAACTCAAGGCTCAGGGACCGGATCAGGCCCACGGGGTGCATAGATCTGGCCTGCGGGGCCAGCCTGGAAACAGCAAAGGACCAGCCCGCGGTGCCTCTGCCAGTGGAAACAGAGCTCGGGATGGCTGCACGCGGCACTCCCAAACTCCATTTTCGCTGGCAGAGGGTTGCAGGAGGCCATCACAGCCAAAAACGGAGCTCGGGAGCCCGTTATCACTGGTAGAATGTTCAGGCTGCCACAGGCACATGAGTGACGTCAAGCTAGCCACAGCCATCTTGGCCATGGCCATCCCAGGCCCCCAAGGTCAAACACAACCCTGATATGTCCCTCAATGAAATTGATTTTGACACCCCTTTTTTAGAGATACTCCCAAAGGTGCTTTTTCAAGAAACAACTGGACTTGCAGAGCTGAAGTAGCTTCTTGGATGAGAAGCGAAATGTCTTCAAAGAAAAACCAGAAAGTCCAGTTGTCTCTTGGAAAAGCATCTTTGGGACAACCATGACCTGGATGATTGAGAATCTCCGTAGACATTTAGAGGTGCTGTTGGCAATGGTGTGGTTAATCTTGAAAGTTAGCGTGGTTTTGTGTGACATAAATGGTTCTGTATCTTTAATAGTTTTGTATCATTTATTTATTTAAAAGATTTATATGGCCACCAATCTTAAGCACGTCTGGGTAACTCATGGTCATTTACTGCCCTTGCAGCATAAATGTATACGTGTGCTCAGAGCTGATCTTCCTATTTGATCTTCCTATTTGTTGGCAGAGATAAATTTGCTAGACTAGGGGATTTTGGTGAATTATGGTCACTAATATTTGAGTAATTAAGAATTAGTCATTCTCTTATTATTAGAGACATTAAGATCATACAATATTTTTAGAGTGGACTTTTGGGGTGGGCAGAACTGTGCGGGTTATAGGGGCTCTCTCTCTATATATATTTTAGCATTCAGACCCTGTCTGTCTGCTTGGTATGCTTGTTCACAGAAACAGTTATTCATCTTTTAGTCCGGCAAGTTTGTCTTTGTGTCAGGTGGGCATTTTATAAATAAGCAGTCTCAGTGGCATTGCATGATCTTTCTCCAAGTTCCACAGGCTCCTAAGCATTGCTGTGGACGTGGATCTCCTTTTAGAATTAAACTTACAGAGAATAGTCGTGAATGTTATTTGCATGAAGTTCACGCCAGATTGGTGTAATAACATGGGAAGCTTAATTTCTCACCACCATTTTTTATTTCTTTCTCTCTCTCTTTTATCATTTAGGAGTCCTGTGTTAGTCTTCCCATGCATTCATCACCATGTTATTTGCCTGGATTGTTTTCACCTCTACTGTGTGACTATGTTGAACAATCGCCAGTTTGTCCACGATCCTATCGTTGGGTATTCATTGCCATGTGTGGGTAAGTTGTTCACTAGTACTTTTTTATTACCGTATTTTTCAGAGTATAAGACGCACCGGAGTATAAGACTCACCTACCTTTTTTGGTGAGGAAAAGAAGAAAAAGAATTCTCCCTTTGCCTCTGAGCAATTTTGCCTTGTTGCAGCAAACAGCAAACAGCCTGCTTTACTTTCATTTTCGTTTTCAGCATAGCTTGATTAGCACAAGGAAAAAAAAATCTGCTCCAGCAATTTACCTCTTTGCAGCAAGCAGCAGAGGCCTGCGCAAAACAGCTGAGAGCAAATCAGCTTAGAGTCGGGAGGTCGTTCCAATCAACTTGTGCTAATTAGCCTGTGCTGAAGCTGAAAGGAGCTGTTTTTTCTTGCTATTTGCTTGTATGGAGGAAACTGCTGGGAGGCAGAGGCCAAAGGGTGGGGGCCAGTGGGTGGGCGGGGCTACATTCAGTGTATAAGCCGCACCTACATTTTCACCCCTTTTAAGGGGGAAAAAGGTGTGTCTTATACTCCGAAAAATACGGTACTTTATAATGTAATAAAATTATTTTACAAACAGTGGAAGGAAATTACTGGCTTAAAAAAACAAATACTCCTCTGTCACGTATTGAAGATAAATTAATAGTGTCAAATAATGTTTTCTCTTAGCATTTTCTGCCTCTGGCTGCTCTTTGCTATAAGAACTCAGTTGTAAATGGTGTTTCTTTTATAAGTACTTTTATAAGTACCAAGCCTACATGGTTTGGTCTAAAATTTCATCATCAAAAAGTGTTAAATGGTAATATCTTAAAAGTGCTAGACATGGAATTACAAAGATAAATGATAAATGACTTTCAGTTTTCATGTCCTGAGTCAACTACAAGAAGCTAAACTTCATTCAATAACTTCATCTTTCCTACTTAATTCACTTCTGAATTAAATTCAGGATAATAATCCAAATGTTAGAGCGTCTCTTCTGATTTATGTAATCAAAAATCCACAGTTGAGAGAAAAACTTTTCTGATGAGGCAACAAAAAAAAAGAAGATAAAATGTAACCTTTTTAAGAGGGCAAAGTTGCTTATTTTCTGAAATGGATTTATAGAGAAAATTAAAAGCTTTCTTGATTTTTAAATGTGGTCCAAAGTGCATTGTTTTACACAAGATATTAATTAACAGCTATGACATCATTTCTTAGAACTTTGCTAGTTCTAAAAGTTACTTTATTTAATTGTTTTGGATGAAAACTGCAGGTACTTCAGTTCAGGTGAAGCCCCTGAAAAGCATATTGGTGCAGTAGGTTTTGTCCAGAACATGATAAAGATGATTATTTCTCAGTAGCCTTCAGGCATTCAAAAACCTTCACGCTACAGGAGAAAATGTGGTTTCCCCATTCACACTGTTTAGTTTGCTTAAATGTGCAAATTAGCACTGTTGATCCTGTTGTTGTTTTGACAAATTTATGAAGCATAATGATCATAGACAGCAGTTTTCATTAACATTTGACTTTCTGCTTCTGAAATTATCTAGCGACTGTATTGCTGATATTAAACAACACAAGCACACAGACACAGAGCTTTGATTATATCAATCTGAAGGTCAAAACAACTGCATCATACTTGACTGGATGGTTGTAACTGTATTTAGGGATAAATAAGACATAAGTTTGTTTTGTATTTTAATAAATGTTTATCCACTTTCAATTTTTCAAATATTGATGCATGCTCATAAATGAAATCACCATTTTATGCAATTTAAAAACTACACAAAATTATGCATATTAAAGCAGATGAAGACTGTTGCAAAATTAAGAATGGAAAAATTAGAAAATGTAGTGGAACTAAACAGATTCATCTCTATGTCATCAAAGATGTAGAGTCATTTAAAGATGAAATTTTCAGGGACTCATTTATTCCACACTAATAGATCTCTTTGTAACTCACGTAACTCAACAAAAGGACTATTATACATAGAAGAGATACAGAAGGTGAACATTCATTTGACTTTCATCGATATATAATGTTGAGTTTGCCCCCTTCTTTAATTTTTGAGTTTATGTGCCTGCCTGCTTTTCCTTCTCCCTTTTACTCTTCTATTTTTGTCATTTTCTTATAGTCTTCTGTTTGACTGATTGTGCCTAGGATCAGAGCAGTTTTCCATCACTACTGAAGCTAGAGTTGTTCTTCATATTTATAGGTACAAAAGGTCTTTATTAGCATCTCTTACACTGTCCTTTGTGACAAGAAGTGACAAGATTCAACCTGAGCTTTCCTGCACACATGGCATGTACTTTGCTCTCAACACCAAATAGAAAATTGGACTCGTTATATAACAACAAATCATTTTAACTTGAGAATACAAATTGATGCTTGGATTTGGTTAAATAGCAAGTTTAAGTGGCCTAGAATCACATAAAAGTCCAATGGTGGCTATATAAATCAAATAAATAAATACATTTTTTAAAAAGTATTCAGGTGGGTCTATGGCAGAGTTACGATTCCATGTTAAATCTGGATTGACACTGAATATTTGTAGATAGAAGCTGGTCTGGTATTTGCTTTTTTTTTTTTTTTTTAAGAAAAGCACTTCAGATACCCTGATCTTTTGCTGTGGTACAATGATCTATTCCATTTTTCTTAGAGTGTCCTACATTAATGTAATTCTATGCATAAAGGTTTCTGTCACTGCTGACCTCTAAATATCTTTGAAATAATTAATACAGTGCTTAGAAGGATAGACTTGCATATGCATGAAAGCCGATTTATAGTTATCTCACTGGTAAGAAGGGTACTGAAATTTTCAGCTAAAAATGAGCTTTGTAGAGAGATAGGCAGCATATTTTAATGCAAGCCCTACCCCCTTATGCAAAAATAGGATAATAATACGGGATTACAACCCACAAGGGAACATAAACCTGATGTAAGATGGAAATGCTAAGAAAAGAAGTGGGGGAGGGGCAGGGAATGCAAGCCCTCATGTTGCTACAGGCGTTTGAGGGTGGCAGGGACTTTGCATCTTATTATTCTTGCATGGTAAATCATATTTTGTGACATGCTCCAAAGAGCTGTGAGAAGAAAGCATTACTATGAAAATTGCAAAATGAAGGGGGAGGGGATTGTACCTAGAGATATCCATGGCTATATTAATACATAATCCAAGTTACCATTAGTTACTGTTGAAATTGCTACAAGAAAGGAACAAAGGTAACTACTGTTTTAAAGATTTGTAAGAATACCAGTGGGATTTGATGAAAGCTTTACATCAGCGTTTCGCAGTTTTAATCACTTTAAATTGTGTGGGCTTCACTTTCCAGAATTCCCCAGCCAGTATGAAGTCCACACATCTGAAAGTTGCCAAGGTTGAGAAACGCTGTTTTTAAAAGAGATCTACACATTAAGATTTTTATGTGTCTATTTTTGTGGAAGACAAGTTTGAAATGATAGTTACTTTTCCAGATCATGTCTAATAGAGGAGTCCATGGTAATAATAGAGTGACCACTTATGTATAGAGATCCTAAATACTCCAAAAAATTCAAAGAGCCAGTTTGGTGTAGTGATTAAGACATCAGGCTTAAAACCGGGAAAATGTGAGTTCTAGTATTGCGTTAGGACAAAGCTAGTTAGTTGATCTTGGATCACTCTCCTTCTCTCAGCCCTAGGAAGGGGGCAGTAGCAAACTACTTCCAAAATCTTGCCAAGAAAACTGCAGGGACATGTCCAGGTGAGCATCAAGAGTCAAAAACTCTCTCAAATGCACACGCAAACATGCACAATAATATCAAGGATATTAACTAGTTGTAGTCTTTATCAGAAACCTGTGAAGGTCAGTTAATATTGCAGGCATCAGGAACAGCAATCATACAAAGCTTACCGAATATACTTTAATGATGCAAAGGCAGGGTTTATTTCATTTATCTCCTACATATTGTGAAATCCCTGTTTCAAATACTTTTCATGTCCTTAATGTTTAGTAAAAATTGGCTATAGTTGATTCACTGTTCAGGAAGAATTTAGGACCATTCTTTCATATGATGGTTTGGGATGGTCCTATTAGTTCCATGATTTTAGACCAAGCATTGTAATTTAAAAATCCATATCTAATGAAACTCCTCATCTCTTCTTCTTGCTTTTTCATTTGAACAAATTGTGTCAGATACTATACTACAGCCAAGATAATTGTGGTCTTGGCTATACTTACTAAATCATTTGCCTTGTTGTGAAAAGAGTTTGAGCTCATCTATACTTTGAATATTATAAATAGGAAAATCCATGAGTTTTATGAGCCAATGTAATTCCCAATTTTTAATTGATTGGTTTAATAGTCCAAGGATATTAGTCTGTCATTTATTCCCTGGGTGCACAAGTCTATTCAGAGTTTCTGTCCCAATTCTTATTGGATTCAGTTTAAAGCCCTCTAGATCATGTTTAATAAACTTTGGCCAATAGCATTCTTCCCCCAAGTTTGTAAAATACAGTCCATTTGTGCCAACAGTGTAATAACTTGGTTCCAGAAGCAAATTTTCTGCATGGCAGAGTGTATAATATTAAAGTCTTATTGGGACTGTCTTTACCTAAAGATAAGTTTTCAATTCTTGAAGCTGAGTTTAATTTGGAATCTTAGGTGACAGTGAGAAGCATTTCAACTTCATTCAGATTATTGTTGTGACCTAGGTTTACTGAGTCATTAAAACACACGAGTAGTCCCAAAAACCTCTTTTATTGCAACAGCTGTGAATTACTTTCATTCACAGCTGAGTCCCAATTAGTTGCAAAAGTCCTTCGGGAGAAGGACTTCAGGATAATCACCAACTTTTATCTCCTTTGACACGCTGCCAAAGACCTACTTGGTAAAGTCACATGGAATCCAGAATTAAACAGAGATGCCCACTGGGAACAGAATTAACAACATTGCTTTCCTGCAAAAGGCCCATGTGCCTTTGCTTCTCTTTTAAGCCTTATGGGAGGGGCCAATCATCTCCAGGCCTTACTCCCGAGTCGTCCCTTTTATTTTAACTGTTCGTGCCTTCTG